AGGGGGAGGCTGAAACATCCGTTAAGCGGCACACATTACTCAGTTCCCGGAGGGAAACTCATCCGATTTAGAAATTCACAATTCATCCGTCATGGGCGGGATGAAGGGGTCTACGTTGGCTCATGTTACACCAATTTCTCACAGGTAGTAAATAGCACCGATGAGGCCGGAAATACTACCCCGGACCCCCTTTTTCATCCGTTTCGACTAACAGTGTTCTCGACTCGTTGCGACCGTCGCGAAGGGTGCAATGGGTGAGACGGGTGACCATTGTGGGGGTACCCAGTGAGAAATTTTTCCGGCGATATCGTTTCGACATCGGTTTTCACGTCGTAAGCGACAGTAAAGTGGGCCTGAAATCGACGGCTTTTCGACAGTCGACATCTAAACGACATCAAAACGACATCGTCTGTCGAAAAGCCGTCGATTTCAGGCCCACTTCACTGTCGCTAACGACGTGAAATCCGATGTCGAAACGACATCGTCGGAAAAATTTCTCACTGGGTAGGGCCACCTTACAGTTTTGTTTTGTTTTCAGTTTTTAAAATGGTTTTATTGAAGTCTAGTTAAGTTACATTTGGATTTTACATAGGTATGCTGTTGCCCGTAGGCGCAGGCCTTACAGTATTTGCTTATATCAGATAACGGGTGGAAAAGTAAGTGGTTGAGTGTTGATGAAGTGTTGGTGTTAGGGTTGGTGCTTTGATTTTGGGGTCCTCTAGGCTTACCAAGGCCAGGGGGAAAAGGAGTACAGCCCTGTTGGGCGACAGGACTTGCCCCGCGTGGGGGTTCCACCGACCTATAACCGGCGGCTTCCTCGCGTGGCATACAGGTATGTACAGTTTGAACAAGTGCGTTATTTACAGGTATTTACAAATATTTACAGTGGGTTGGTGGGGCGCCTGGGAGGTAGGCAGCCCAGTCGGTGGGGGCGGCGGCGGGGTGGCCAGCCGCGAGAGCGCTGTGCGCTCTCGAGCCGGGCGAGGCCACCTTACTGGCCGCCCCGGCGGAGCGCCTGGTACGTATGCAGTCCTGTCGAGCACAGCAGCGTTGCGGGATGGCCTACCCTGGGCCCTGGCAGGCGTCTGGCTGTATGGTTCCGCCCCGCAACCTTTTAGCCATGTTGTACGGGATGTGTTCTGTCTACCTGGCGGCCGTCCCAGAGATAGCGGTCGACAAGGTCACCATTGTGCTATCTTTAGGCCTCCGGGGAGTGCCCATCGGCGCCATCATACCCCGTCTATTACGGGGACCTAGGCTCTTTTTTAGACTTTCCAATTCAAACATAGACCAGTAGCCGACGAGCGGCTCGCAAGAAAGAAGGGAGATGATCGTGGGTGAGCAGAGAAACAGTATCAAAACACGCCGGTGGCAGAGCAGAAAGTCGGTTTTATATTTTCATGAACACAGTATGAACGAATGGATGAACAGATATCACAGCAGTTGTTTTGTACGTATTTGGTGGGGGTGACCCACCGGGTCGCGCGGCGCTCACAGCTTGGACACCTTGACCACCGCCTTGCCCGTGTTCTCCCCCCGCAGCATGCCGATGAGGGCGTTGGGCATGTTCTCGAAGCCCTCATAGACGTGCTCCTGCACCTTGAGCTTGCCCTGTGGATTAAAAAAAGTTAACATCACGTTTATGTTTAAACAGGTTTCTTTTCTTGACGTATTCTTTTGTGTTATTGAGTGCTATTGGTTGTATTCGAGTCTAAGGCAGAGCTGTTCAAAATAGTGCATGCAGGTATGTTATTGTGGCCCTATGGGCATAAAGATAATCAAGATTGTTGCAAGCAGCACGATACAGAATGAAATGTTTTGTGTGCGCAAACTTTTTAAGAATCAAGAATCAGATTTAGATGGATGGCAAAAACACCTCTGCAACGCAGTCCCTTACCTCCTTGATCCACTTGTGCATCTGATCGTACGCCTCAGGGAAACGCGACCGCCACCTGCTCACGACGAAGCCCTCCATCTTCAGCTGCTTGAACACCATCGAGCCCTGGATAACGGGTGCTGGAAAGGAAATGCCAAGCATGAATACCAATCCCTCTATCGCTCTCTCAATTTTTCTCACCGTCACAATAATGGCCAATACCGTACCCTGGGGTGGGTTGGCCATGTCGGCGTTGTACGAGGCGATGGCACCACACACTGCTATACGGCCGAAGAGGTTCATCTTCGACAGAACGATGCTGCTGAACTCACCACCGACCTAGGCAGAAACACGCCGTTAAGACACTGTCGCGTCATATCACGCGCACGCCGTGCTCTCACAACCGGGCTTACGTTGTCGAAGTAGCAGTCGACGCCGTTCGGAGCCGACTCCTTGAGCGCGTTCGCGATGTTGCAGGTCTTGTAGTTGTAGGCGAAGTCGAACCCTAGGGTTTTCTTCAGCCACTCCACTTTGGCGTCCGAACCGGCAAAACCGATCACTTTGCAACCTTTGGGGAAAGCACAACCAGGAAACCATTGAAAAATACTCAGATTACAGTTTTACACTCTAAATGTAGAGGAACGATGTTTCCTCGAACGGCACGTTTGTCTGCACGGTCTCTAGACCATTTGTTTCTGAGACGGGGAAAAAAGTGTAAAGTTTTACACAATTCGTCCGGTGCAATGAAAATACTAGAATCAGGTATCTTGCACTCTGGAGAGCGAGATCAGTGACACAAAAAATATCGCTTTCCTGAGAGCGAGATGGCTGTCACTCAATTTTGGTCATAATTGGTCCTCACCCAATGCGAGTGAGGTTTTCCGGTGCAATTGGGCGAAATCAGGGAAATCTTACTCCTTCAGAAGTGAGAATTCGGTGCATATGTCTCAAGAAGGGTGACCCTTATAGTCACCGCTCTGACTGAGCGAGGCAAAATTGTCTCACTCATATCGAGCACACCTCACTCAAAGGTTTTCAGTGTGTTACTAAGAAACTTGTAACGGTCTGTATCTGCACATGAACGTCGTTGTGAAAATGTAAAACTTGAAAGGCCGCAGAACCGCAGACCCGTACACACGTGTACCACGTGTACTCTACTCACCCTTGACTTTGGCAATCTGCCCCACGAGCATGCCGACGGCCCCGGCAGCGCCGTTCACAACCACGGTCTCGCCCTCCTTGGGCTGACAGAGCTCCAGGAGGCCGAAGTAGGCGGTGGCGCCCGGCATGCCCAGGGCGCCCAGGGCGTACGACAGCGGCATGTCCGAGTGGCGGACCTTCTCGACGTCGCCCCTGGTCATGTCACCCTTGGTGCTGTCCACGTGGACCACGGAGCGCGACGACCAACCCAGGTAGCCGACCACCGCATCCCCGACCTTGTACTCCTTGTGCTTGGACTGTAGGACCCTGTCGGCAGAGAGCCCCTGTAAAACCGGCTCAACATTAACCGTCCTTCTTCGGCGGTGATCCTACTTACTTTCCAACTTGCCCGCCAATCATCTTAGTACCAGCGGGGTAGCGGTCCATGTACGCCCTGCCAAAAACGAAACAGTTTTAATACTAATATTCGAAAAAAGTGGTTGAATTACTTGACTAAATTTTGTTCTATCCGGCATTACTCACCTCATGTACGGATCCACGCTCATCCATTCTGCCTCGACAAGGATTTCTGAAACACGGCGAGATGGTGTAAAAATCAAAAGAATTACCAAACAACAACACGGCCACTTGTTTGCCGTTGACTCCAGTCGTGGACAGACTCGTAATCGATTACGAGTCTCAGTTTATCTACCACGGGCGATAACGCCCCTGATATCGTCTATCGCACTAATTGTGACAAACTAAAGCAGCTCTATACGCACCCTCACGACAAACAAGCGCGTATTGGGAAGGAGGGGGGGGGGGGGCAACTGCCCCCCTCCCCCGGTCAGCGCTATGTAGCCGCCTGAAATGTGGGCAATTTTAGCAACAAAACCCCTGAACATAAAGGCAACTTTTTCTACACCCCACCCCCCTTCTTCAAAGTTCAACTTCAAAAAGGGTTATTCGACCCTTCCTACGCCCCTGACGGTAACTTCTCGGGTAAGTGCAAGTGTGTGTGTGTGTGTGTGTGTGTGTGTGTGTGTGTGTGTGTGTGTGTGTGCGCGCGCGCGCGCGCGCGCGGTATAAGGAGGGGGCGACAGGTGGGGCGATGCACTGTGGGTTGCCTACATACAGGGGTTTTGTAGCACAAATTGCCTACCTTTCAGGGGCGATCGCCCCCCCCCCTCCCCCCTTATACCGCACCTGGTGTGTGTGTCTGTCAGTCTGTCTGCCTCTGCCTGTATGTATGTTTATACTTCCGTAGCCAGCTGTGTACAAACACACACACGGTGCAAATTAGCACCCCCTTCACACATGATGACATGATGCCCCTTCGGATGCTTCCGAATATTGTTCGACAGGAGATTCGGCCATGAGTGGGTACCAGAGGAAAGGGCGAGGGACGAAAGGTGTCCATCGCAGGGAATATTTTATGTTATGAACACCCACGTAGTTAGCCGCAGGCATGAGAGCAGTAGAGTTTGAACTGGGGCGCGGTGCCCCCCCCCTTCCCCCCACACACATACACTCAGACACTCACCGCCTTCCTTCAGATCGGGCAGGGGCTCCTCCTTGATCTGGAAGTCGCTGGGCTTGGGCTCGCCGGCGAACTTCTTGGCCATGTAGATGACTTTGGCTGGGGGCGCCATGGCGGAGAGGCAGCGGCAGGACGTGGACGTTGGCGGAGGCGAGTGGAGGAGCGCGCTGCCGGCTTGGAGGACTCGACGCAATAGCATGGCTGCGGCTGCCGCGGGGTACTTCTACCTCGTGGCGGTGGGCCTGACTTCACGAAGAGCCACGCCTAGTGGATCCAGCCCGGCTCGGCTCTCGCCTCGAGGACAGGGCTCGGCTTGGCTCGGCCCCGTTCGGCTCGGGCTCGGGTCGGCCTGTTCGGGTGTGATCCCCCCTCCCGACAGCCGGTCAGCGGTCCCCACGCGGCTGCCGGCGTATCGCGCCGGGTCGGGCGACGGAGGCGACGACGGGCCGCACACAACAGGGATTCACTCACGCCACTCTCGACAATGACAAGAGGCAAGTCATTCTCGGTACGGGGCCAGCGGGGGCACAGTCCGGTCCACCTCACACCACCTCCCGGCGCGTCTGGCGCGGCAGCCTCCAGCCTGAGCGAAGCCATTCATTCACTGAAACACGTCCGTCGTCACAGTCACCCTCTCCGAAAAGAGTAATTGCAACTAGGGCCACATTACGCGCCGTGTCCCAGATTACCCGCAGTGTCCCAGATTACCCGCAGTGTATTGCCCCGTTTTACGGTAACGTGTGGCGTAACAAACGCCATAAGGAGCGAGCGCTGTGCTTGGGTATACCCAAGCACACCCCAGTAGGAGGAACGTCGACTACCCCCGCGAGACCGAGTCGGTAAAAGTTTCATCCACGGCTGCACCCCGCTGCACCTACAAGGGCATGCGACGCATGTGCCCCGCCCCGCCGGCTGCAGTAGACCGGCCACACGACGCTCTCGAGGGTGAATGTGGGGTCGCGGGGGTGATCCGCAAAGTGCGGCGCCGCGCCCGCATCGTGTCACTTCGCGGGGTGCCAAGTCGCGGATCAGCCCGGCGACCCCGTATTCATCCTCGAGAACGGTGTTGCGGATGGGGGCCTGCCCCATCCGTCCACCCAACGGGGCTGAATGATGACAGGCGCGGTTTTAAGTCCGTCTGACGTCTGACGGTGGGGGCAATTTGCTGTGGGTTGCCTACTTTTAGGGGTTTTGTCGGACAAATTGTCTACCCACCCCACGCCAGGGTGGCGATGGCCCATCCCCCCCCCCCATAAAACCGCGCCTGAATGATGACCCCCTAGCCATGACCCCTTTAGTCCACCGCAAAACCCTACAGTGTACGTGGAACACACAGGGCAGAGTCGACTTGCAAGCACACACATTCAAGTGTGTACTTGCCGAGGGGGCAACAACTTCGCTTGTGTACTATGGAAGTATACAGTTAGTATGGTGTGTAGGCAAGTGCACTCTCCGTTACGTGTACCATGTAGCAAGTACACACACGTGTATCTGTGTGCTTGCAAGTCGACTCTACCTTGTGTTTCCAAACAAGAATATACTGCAGTGCACTGTTGGGTTTGTAGTGTTTTGTTGTGTGACGCGTGGTGCGGCAGCAGCCACGAGTGAGGTCATGCTCGAGTCGTCCGCCCTGGTGGCCGCCCCTTATCTCTGTCACCTGATGTCCCTAATGCCAGAGCAAAAGAGGGAATGAGGCGGGTCGAGGGTCGAAAGGAGTGCGAATCACGACTAAAAACGTTGGGGGCATTACAACACAAAATAACAGCCTCTTAGACCCAATCCCAATCATGATATGTGTGTCACATACTTTGGTTATGTAGCTTAAACAAAAGTGCACAAGTCCACACAGGGGGAGTCTCCTTCGACCCTCCGATTTTCGGAGCAGGCCGCTAAGACTGCACCACACTGTCACAGTTTCTATGAGGCATTGTTTCGCAAATCTACACAAAAAAGAGGAAGCTCGTCGTAAACTACGCACGCATCGCATCAGTGCCTTGTAAATTACAAAGAAATTTTCGCTTTGAGTTACAATGTGTCCAGCATTGACCTCCTGATAACTAGTAGGTTGACCATCACGCACTATTATTCGTGAGCGGCCATACTTGGTTGCAGAGCGCCGAGGGGTCGTGAACTCTCCTTGGCCGTGTACGGAGGAATATTGGATATTACAAATAATATTGGTAATATTGAGCCAATTTTCAAGCTGTGACGTCATAATACTAGAAAAATGTGTAATATCCAGGTAATATTACCAGTAATATGGCTAATATTGGTGTAATATTTGAGGTAATATCAGTCCGTGTACGGAGGAATATCGAAGTTGACGACCCCTCGCAGAGCGCCCAGCGCAGCAGGGTGCGGGTGCGCGATCAGCGAAACTCCACCCTTCGTGGTCAGACGCTGCGCCGCTGCGGCGCCCCGCGCCCCGCCCGCACTCGCCACGACATCGCAAAGTTGCGGCACAGTCGAAGCGTGGCCGGGGGAAATGTAGAAAATTAGTGGTGTTCGTCCTGCTTTGACTGTCAATTTCGGCATTTATCAGATTTGGATGAAATTGTCAGGGTACGAAGTCGAGTGTTTCGTGTGACTTTCATTTATCTTTTTGGTATTGACGAATGATGAAGCCACGCAACGACGGCTGAAAGGACAAACATGCCCAAGGGTTAAAATATCGTTTTTAAAATATATTTTTTTAGATTTTCTTTACTTACATGCTATGAAGATTTGTACATTATTTCAGTGACAGGTTTACAGAACCAATACATTTTGTGTCAGCTTTATCACGAAAACAAATTAAGTCTAGCCCCTTTCACTTACGGAACGGCCGTTAGTTCTGGAAATGCGATAACACCTCTACAATCAACCAGAAGATACGCCTGCTGTCCGCCTGCAGACGGCAGGACAGGCAACCCATTCGCGCCGCCTGTTTTGCGGGCTGCGGGTGCAGCGGGAGCGGGCGTCGCGCTCGTATTGATCGCGCCTCTGTACGGCTCCAATCGTTTAACACGCTGAGTCCATGGAGGGGGTGGGGCATTTCAATAACAGCTTATTGTGGCCATACGAGTGGTCACGTGGGACTCAGCGTGTTAAAAGAGAATGTTTCTCTTCGATTGTATTATTGAACGAAAGTTTTAGATAATTTGTATGAACTGTCATGACAAATTGCCTAGAAACCTGAGTACACTGATAAACTAAGTGTTCAACTGCTCAATAACACCTGTAAGTGTGCAACTCCTCGGTTAAACACTTAGATTAAACGCTCACTGTAGAGGAAGTGCTTAACCGAGGAGTTGCACACTTGCAAGTGCACACCTACCGAGTTGAACACTTTCAGTTGCACACTTGCAAGTGTTGAGCAGAAGAACACTAAGTTTTTCAGTGTAACGTTAAACGCACCAACGGTTGGATTTCTTTTCACTTTACTTAATGCCTATACCTATTTCCTAGCCGTGTTTCAATGCAGCGCTCAGCGTACTTTTTCAACACCACCAGGTGGCAAAAACTAATGAGTCAACCGGTGTACAGTACAACGACACTAACACATTCAGACAGCCTCTTCACGGCAGGAACATGTCCGGGATGGGCACGCTCGCGATGAGGGTCTTGATGGCCAGCTCCACCACCTCCTTGGCGGCCTCCACCAGGCTGGGACCCAGCTCGCGCAGCACGTCACGCCAGTTCTCGTTGAGGAACGAGTTCATTTGCGCGCCTGTGCAGGATCAGAGAATGAAAGTTGGAAGTTTGATCGTGTCACTGGGTGGGGTTGGTGTAAGGTGTACAGGGTGGACGGACGTCCAGCCCGTAGGAGCGAATAGCTATACCTTGACTTTACCAGCTCACGCCAGCTCGCCAGTTCACCACATGCAAGAGGTGTGCGAGCGTTGTTGCCTATGAGCTCGGTGAGCTCGGTCCCTCGGTGCCATAGGGCACCACGTTAAATGAGTATTATAGACACACGAGGTCTAGGATATCAATTCGCTCCAATGCAGCTGGAAGTCGCCACTCGAAATGTTTGTCACTCGTGCGCAAGTAGTACTTTTGACTGGTCTGTTGTAGAGGATGGTGTTCAGGGGACGGTGTACTCACCTAGCACTTTGTCCCCGTTAAAGAGACCTTTCAGCTGGGACCTGAGTGCGTCTGCGCTGACGATCGCGATCTTCGAGTTCACCACCGTGGCGTACTCCTTGCCGTCGGCCGCCTTCTGCAGCGGCCAATCGAAGGAGTAGTGGATCTTCAAGTTCTCTGCCCCAACGAGAAACGGAACAAAGACAGAGGAATTCTGAAAGCCTGTTTTACTGATTTCAAAAGAGAAAAATTTCTTTTAGTTTTTCTCACCAAAAGTAAAGTTGGAGGGCCCGGAGCCGGTGATGGGCAGCAGAAGGATGCGGCCCGCCGCTTTGTAGTTACCGGCCATGGTGAACACCGGCAGCAATATGTCGAACTCGGTGGTCTTGCGCTTCCAGCTGAGTCTGTTCAAGAGCGAGCAAGAAAAGCTATGTTTACATCCACATCAAAAAAGAGCTGTCACCATCCACCCCCCCCCCTCCCCCCTCAAACCGGTCAGCCGAAGGAGAGCTGGTGAGAGTCTTCACACCAATTATAATACTCTCGTATTCTGCGAAGCTAGGCGTCGGTCTCGACGTCACTCGACACTTCCTGCTCGGTTAGTGAACTCGCACTGCACACAACGTTACGCCAGGTCAGTAAAGACGGCCGACCTGGAGGAACTCGGACTGCAGAGTGTGGTACCCTGCACATCTCGCAACCACTTTGGGATCGTCCAGAAAGTACGTCCGTTTCTCTCAGATCAATTCCGTACAAATGAGGGGGGGAAGCAGGGCGCCTGCGAAACTCGGGGTAGGCCATCCCGCATTACACGAATGCACCGCATGCGAGATTTTGCCTACCTACCAGGCGCTAGCCTGCTTAGGCCGAACCTGGCAGTTTCGCAACAGCGAATGAAGGACGTACTTTCTGGATGATCCCTCCTCTGAGACGGTAGGTCGCGGGCGGCTGTTGGTGAACCATATGAGGGTTCCGCACCCCCCCTAGGGTGAGCCGTAGTTGTATCGGGATCGGGTGTTTCAGTGCAAGCTCCGGGGCGGGCGGGTTTGCTTACTTACAGGGGCCATGGTGCCTTACCGCCAGAGGAAGTGGGCGAACCCAGCCGCCCCACCGCGTGCGCCGATACATTGTATTGTGAAGTAGTGAGCTACATTGTCAGCACTCATTTGTCTTACCGCATTACCTGTATTGGAGCCCAATTAGTCTCAGTCTGACGTCAGTCACGTTTGTTTTCACTGTGCACACCGCTGCCCCTCTCCCCTCCTGCCTGTTGACCAAAAGAGTCAATGGTCCAACACCTTCTCCAGTCACGATCAGGACCCGCTGTTTAACGACACACTCGGCACGCGCGAATATTTGACTACTATGAAATTTCAACGGCGCACCAGTTTCAGGAGAGGGCGACAAAGGTGTACACACCTTTGTCTTATTCACACGCATACACCTTTGAATTCATAATATGCTGGAAAGTCCCTGGCATACCATTACAGTGTAGTTGCGACGAGCACCGCCAAGTGCTTGTAACGGCAGTATGTGAGGCAGTGGGTGGCGATTAGACGCGAGTTCTCCGCGATTTCACCGCGAGTGCTTCAGCTTGTTTATACAATGAGTATCGATGTGGGGGACCCTCGGGCGAGTCACGCTATCTCTGGACTGCAAGAAGAAGTAAGAACCGGTCTGGAGTACATTTAAAACAAATTCAAGGTCGATGGTTGTCCCGGGGGTGTAGGGTGTCTCGGGTAAAAGAAGGAGGAAAAGAAAATGGAGGTGGGCGGGAGTCATCTCTTTCTGTGCTTTGAACCCATGACCTTCGACACATTTTTGGTCAGAGTTCGAGTCTATCTCGCCTTTCGGCGTATTAGTACCCCACTAGCGGCAAACGCATTGAATGCACTTGCTCGTACAAATGTTCATCAAAGGTGGCACATTGGTGCACTAACTGCGCTCTACGTGAGCATGATTTGCTTCCATGCGCTTAGGTGAAGTCGTCGCCCTCCTGACTCCTGGTTTGACCGCCTCCTGATCCCCACGGCATTGCCCTCGCGTGGTAAACAAGGGCATTACACCCACTCAACGACCTCAAGTAAGCAGAAATCACGATATAAAACTTGTTGTCACAAAATCTAGAGGTCATCCCTAATTTCAAGAACGACAAGAATCGTTTATCTCCCCGAAATATTCCTCGGCTGCTCAACATACACGTAGGGTACCCGCAGTCGAAGGGATTCGCATCCTACTGGTTCACCTTGTCTGTCTGGACGCTCCCGCCCGTGCTCACTGCAATCTGCAGTGCCGGCCCAAGCGAGGGAGCCACAATTCCCTCTTCGGTTAGACACATGATTGCATGGAATTCAGGATTCCATAGGATTTTAAGGATTTCGCATACATGTTTTAAAATTTCACGCTTGCGCCTGCGTACACCCAGAAAAATAGTGTCTTGATTCAAGTGCAAGCTGACAACAAGATGACATTCACCATTGAATTAAGGGCAATATTGTCTTTGAAATAAGATTTTCCCCTTAATCGAAAGAAAATATCATCATGTTTCAAGAGTAAATTTGATCTTGAGTCAGCGTGCACTTGAAACAAGGAAAAATTTACTTGCATCAAGAAAGCTTTAACTGGGTGTATTGATTACGTCTGATTGGAAAGATTACCCGTGAATTCAGTGGATTTCATGTGATTTCGGTTGATTTTACATGACAATCGGGTGGATTTTTAGGATAAAATGTTGTGGAAGATTGCTCAAAATTTCGTGATTGCAGATGGATTTTTCAGGGACACTATGTACTCACGATTTCGGGAGTTATAGCCCCCTGGGCGCAAGAAGAACAGAAAGTCATGAGGACGCATGAGGAGCCATATTGATGACGTCAATTTGACCCGAGTTTTCGGTTAAAACCCGCATCTAGGGATTCTTTCCCAGGCACATTACCTATTTCTTTCGACTTCTCCGCGACATATTCCCATCCCATTCCTCTGACGATACTTTTCCCAGGACTCTACTTCCAGGTTGCGTGGATCTGATGCACTTCCTCTGACGGCTCTCCGTCTTTCTCCGGCACAAACCTTGGCAACGCGAAGGCCGATGAACGTGGACGTGGTGTGGCGGTGCTCTAGAGAGGGGGGGATTCCCTGCGCGCGGCGGTTGAAATTATATCACTTTTTGTCGTTTTCGATAATGATTTCGAAATCATTTTGAATAGCTGTATTTAGTTAGGAGAGCTAAAGCCGAGAGCGAGGCGCGAAAGCCCGAAACGACAGCCGAGAGCGAAGATCTAATAACATTTCTCACTTCATATTGCTGAGGCGGGCCTCGGGCAGCCCGTGGATCTCGAGCGGCTCCCAGGTGAGGTTGAGGCTGATCTGGCTCGAGCCACCCTGCGACAGCGCCACCCTGGGCACGAGCAGCGGGTTCATGCTGGCGATGCGGAGCTTCTTGTCGCCGTTGGTGAGCGAGGGGATGCCCGCGTTGGCGGCGCGCTGCGCGCATGCGCTCAGGTCCGCATCAGGGAGCGACCGCGAGCAGGGCTTGCCGAAGTAGGAGGCTGGAGGAAGCGAAAAGAAAACACGATGCTGACTCATGCACCCTCTGCGGTCTTCAGTAGATGACGCGTTGTATATCGGCAGCACTGTCGTGAACGATTGTAAAGTTAGAAGTAAAAGTGCGCCGGTGCAGTCCCGCCTGCCGCGCCCGTCCTTCCCCAGCGCCTTCACTGCGAGCGACCCGCCCCTCGCAGCTGCTTGGCGGGCTCACCTGCCCAACACGTAGCAGGCGCTTTTATTTGCCTTACCTCGTGTAATATTCAAAGGAGACCTATAGGGTATAGCCAACCCAAGGGATCGTCCAGAAAGTACGTCTGTCTGTCAAGGATTCATTCGGCAAATTACGGGAGCTGGGCGCCTGTGAGACTCGGGGTAGGCCACCCCGCAGTACATGCATGCCATGCAGGCGAGATATTGCCTACCAACCAGGCGTCCCGAGAGCTTGCAGAGGCCGAACTTGGCAGGATCGTAACGGCGAATTACAGACCAACTTTTATGGGTGATCCCCAATTTGGTCGAGTGACGTATGAAAGGGTGCGTAACAGTGGTTTTCCACATTTGCCCTGAACAGATTGGCTGCCCAAGAAAATAAACTCCTAATTCGGGCTAAACTGGGTACTCGTTTCTCACAAATGAAGCAGGTGTGTGACGTATCCCTGTTGGCCTAATGGAACTACCCCACAAGGGATCTTGGTGTCACTTACGCAGTTTGTGTCCGAGCGCTCCCGCGCAGCCCGCGACCAGTAACAGAGCCACGGTAACCAGGTTGGCCCTCATGGCTTGTTGCGTGTTGCAAACAGACTCTTGACTCCCGCCAGCCCGAGTTCATCCAACGACTGAGCGCCGATGTCCAATCGAGTCATTTTTGTACCCGCTGGCATTGCAGCTTTTCGAGGCGGAGGGGGAAGCAGGTTGTACAGCACAGCGCGCGTTGGTCCGATCAGGGAGGATGGCGGAGCGGGGCCGTCGGCCCGTCGGCCGGCGGGGCGGAATTCCAGGAATACGATTGTAAAAAAAGGGCCAATATTGCCCTTATTTCGTTAAACTGAATGCCAATCTGGCTAGCTTGCCGTAATTTTTTCAACTGATATAGTACCACTTTTCC